AGCCCAACGCTCAAACGTCATGGTGGTGGAGAGTTTCTATGCAACAAGGTTCCGAAACTCGAGCTAAAGTTACAACGGCGCGCCGTTACAAGTGAACTGATCTAAAGTCGTACTATCGCATGTGGCGCGTGGGGAGTTGAGAGGCGGTGAGGTAAACGCATGGCGTTGGTTGCTTTTCGCCCTCGAGCAAACGCTTGCCCCAAGCTTCCACCACGAGTTTTTCATGCTTTTTCATGCTTCGTCCGAACTTGCCGGCACGTTTGCATGCGTCAAAGGCAGATCCTGTGCCTCAGAGTCGCATAACAGGGCGTAAAATCGAACGACATCCAGAAGAAGAAGTCTCATCCGCCGTGTGTAAGGGCTCTTTACTTCGTCTGCCGATGACTCTGTGCAATGGCGCATCCGTGAACGAGCTACTGTAATGTAATCGCCTCGGAGACTAGTACCGACCCCCCGAAAGTTCGTGGAATTCTACGTTCAAGGCCAAACCCTACTGTGCAATACAGGGGCCAGATCTGCTGGCTCATTTCCTCGATGCAGCTCACTGGGTTGCTGCATCCCTAGTCAGCGCCATTGTCTCGAGATGTCGTATCTGAGGTCCAGTAAGACGGCAGAGGACTCTGTCTCTGGTTGCAAGCATGGGGTTTGGGCATCAAAGTTCAAAGCAAGGACGCGCGGAGGTTCCATTTTGGCACTCGGTACAGCTCACGCGTATGCAGATGGCCGCTTTCTGGAAAGACAGTGGATATCTCGGAGTTTGAGTGACTTCTGGGTGGAGATTGCGCTGCTATTATCGTATATTTGTTGAGCGAAGAAGAGGGAGAAGCCAACAGGACCAAATCGGAGGAAACACGGGTATAAGGTGCTGAGAGACAACCTGAGGTATCTTATGCAAGTTAGACCTTCCCATGGCATGGCAGGCACGAATTGATGTTGAGCTAAAAACCTCAAGGCAGCTACCTTAGGTGTAAGTAAGGCCAAGAAAGGAGAAGGTGCCACTCTCTTGGTAGAAAGGACTTAAGGAAAGAACTATGAATCAGAGTAAAAAGAGAAGGAGCGGATTCGTTGCAGTATAAGAACTTCCAGTCTGATGATAAACACCACCAAATTCGCATATATCATAACCCTCAATCCTTTGAAAAGTTCCTGAAAAGCCAGCCAATGCACCCGAAAGAACCCCTCGATTCCCGAGATTTATCGGCTCAGGTCATAAGCGGGGCAGAAGAGAAACTTATGCAAGCTGGCGCATTTCTGGGCTCTCATTTGAACGCACAACGAGTTGGTAGAACGAAATCATGACTTCAGCTTTGGTATGCCTAAGTTCACGACCAATTGATGCTAGGCGATGCTAAGGATGTCATGCAAGATCACTCATCTCGACTTCCACAAGCAGGATGATTATTGGTAGCTCCTGGAATTTGCTTCAATTCCATTCTTCGGAGAACTTGATAAACTCGGTCTAGAATCTGCCAAAATGGCCTGACTTCAGCTAGTGTCCGTAGTCCATGTGTAACTATTGGTACTGTTCCATTTACCAAGACAAGCGAATTGTGCATGGCGTCAATCTGACCACGAGGTTGTTTATGACATGTCATCTACTCCATATCATGCTCTCAAAACAAGCCCAGGTGGGAACGATGTTACATCAGGCCAATGTCTGGGGCCGAGAGCTGACACGTCAAGGAGTTGGCTAATCTGGCCCAAGGGCTGCGATAAGTTCCAACTTATCATCGCGATTTGTTCTTCTTTGGCATCCATGCCTCACCGACTTAGGCCTGCTTCACTTCTTTCCGCCTATGATCATCTAAGCGTTTGTGTGAGCTATTAACTTGATTCCGAGTTGAGGCTGGCCAATCTTGTCAGTAAGTCTCAGCTCAGCCAATTCGCCATTAGTTCTTCAATGCCGAGCTCGCCACATGGCAATTGCTCTCAAGTGCCGGTTCATAACCCCACCATCGGGTGGTCAACGGTCGCTAGCGAGTGGTAGCAGATGGCCGCAGCCACCATCATCGCCGATCTGTTGACTCCCAGTACTCTTGCGGACTAGTCTCAAGCATTGTTGCGGCCTAGATCCCTACGGACCCTCCAAACTCTTGAGCCAACTGGCCGCTTCTGGCTCCCTTTCAGCACCTCCACCCAGGGAACTTCTGTCAAATCGCTTACTCTGTCAACGTCTTCTGGTTCGGCCTCTGACCTATCATCGTCTGTATCCTCATCTGTAACTTCAAGTATTGTGTCGTTGCCCTCGTCGGTCCCAGCTCTTTCATAAAGATCTTCGGTATAGGCCCAACTTGGGGTATCAAACTTGCCATGAAGTAGGACAATGTCTCTGCCTTGGGATTTGATATTTTTGAACTCTTCTGCTGGAATTGGTGTGGTAAGCTGCAGGGTGTGTGATTTCGTATCGATACCTCGCAGGAGAACCAGCCCAATGGTTCGAGAATACCGGGGGTCCAAAGCAGCGTCATTATAGTTGGGGATGAAAGGAATGCCTTCGGGACTTGTTGATACGATCTGGAGAGCCTCATCTTTACTTGTTGCGTCAAGCTTCAGGAGTTTCGATGATGTATCGGTAGAGACCTGGTCCTGGATGAATCCGGAAAATGCTTTCACATCCTCTATCTCAACTGCCGCCAGAACCAGTCCGCTCACTGTATCGGCCAACAACTCCGGCGAACATTGATAATCGTAAGATACCAAACCGAAGATCCCCTTCTTGGAGGAATATCGTACAAGTAAGGGTGGTCTGAAAGAAAGTGGCGATGGGTTCCACTTCAACCTTCGGGTGGTATCAGTTTGCTTCGTGGTCGTCGAAGCTAGATCTTGTAAGTGAAAGTAAGACATGGTCTGCATCGCTCTCAAATGAGCAGCGGTTCTTGATGTAAATTCGGACTGCTGGGAGGGTAATTCTGTAAGCGTGGTTGCTGTTGCAGCCCGCAACGCATCGACTGTCTCAGAGGGGCCATCTTCAGACATATATAACACTTCTTCAGGCTTCAGCATCCTGGCCAGGGCACAGAGAAGATCGAGCCCAGTTCCAAGAATCCAACCTGGTGTATTGACGATGAGAGGAACACCCGCAAAACTTTTGTTGTACGTATCAAATAGATCGACAGCACAAGCCAGGTAGAGATCGGGGTCGGATGCTGGTGTTACAGAGGCCATTGAATGGCAACGAACGACGTTCGAAGCAGCATCTCCGATGCCCGGGTGTGTGAATGGTGTCCCTAGATTCGGCTTCGTCGCAAACACGAGAGACAAAGTCCCAGCTGGCGCATATTCCGGTTGGCCTGGATCTAGGTCCATCACCACAGCACCTCGCAGGGTCTGTCTATGAGAACGATCTGTCAAAAGCCGGTTCAGAAACAACCGCGAAAAAGTAGACTTTCCGGCCGACTTCGGGCCGCATATCAACGTTGAAAGAGATGGCTTTTCTCGACTGGTCGTCACCAGGGATGAAAGCTTCCTGTTCCACGCAGCTAGTGAGTCTAACTCTTGGATGATGCATTTTTTAGGGGCATCTTCCGGCGTTTGGACCTGGAAAGGCATTAATAAACACTTTCATAGCAGGTAAGACAACTTACAATCTGAAAAGTTGACTCTTTATTTGACTTGGTTGAGTCTCCCTCGGGTGATTCGTTCCACATTTTCCTGAATAGTGGTGATAAACGGCCCAACTGGCGCAAACCTTGAGCATTTTTATCTGGATGCAGCTCTAGTCTCGTCTGCTCCTTCGTCCGTAACACGGGCACTGCATGGCAATAAGGGGCATGAACCCATTCAATAGTTTCAGCAGGATAGAGAGTAGCACCAGCCAACACTACCTCACCTTGAATCACTTTAATACCAAAACTTCCAATGATTGGAAATCGCTGCTAAGTCAGTCAAGATATTTGTAAGATGCGAGGCATGAAGTTTACCTCTTTGCTAGAAAGCCGTAGTTCTACCACGCCTCCCTTCTTAACTCGGTGGTTTTGATCGGATAATCGAAATGATGAGTACGGTATGGCCCTTTGAACTGTCCCGGGTTCAGGAGTTATAGATCCCGGTGGCCGACTGAGAAGCTGATGAGCGATGTCGAGGCTAGTGATGCCGGGTCATATACCTTGCCATTTCATGGCTCTTGGGATGTGCGGCAGGCGACTCAGTCAGACGCTGTGACCTAGGAGTCTTTACTGCACTCTTCTTAGGAGTTGATGGAGTTCCGACTTGACTGGTTCCCTTTTGGAGAAGACTGAAGTAGTTGATATTGCTGGTGGGTTGTTTCCCATCGCATTCTGAGGATTGTTGCGCGGACGTTGAAGAAGCTGCAGCCTCTCTTCGTCGAGCAGCAAGAGCAGCAATAGCACTCATCGCTTTATTATGTGAGTTAGCACGATCGAAAGACACGGCAAAGAGTGTAACACTCACGCTTTATTGCATCTACACCCTCAATTCTTCGTTTTTTGTGAGAGGACATGGCTGAGAATGGATATGGTAAAATCGAAATGGTGACGTTGAATATGATCAGTCCAGGCAAAATGAACGGGAAGCGATAAGTCACTGTAGAGTCATTATTCAGCTGTCATAGAGTTGATGAATGTCGCATGCGATCAAGGCTAAAACGTCTTGAAGGTGAAGAAGGTCTTATCGATAAGAAAAAATCATTTCGCGTTACCTGGGTTTCTATTCACTCGACGGTGTTGAATTGTACCTATGAAAAGGGATAGTACCAACGTCTTATTTTTTTATATCTAGGATTTCCTCGCTATCTCATTTAAAGTGCGTAAACTCATGCCTTCTTTGCCCAGTGTCATTGATCTCGCGTCACCCATTATCGGGTATCTACACGACAGAAGCGCGTCCGTCTACAGTTAACCCAGGATAACTTAGTGGGTTGCCCCACTAGCGCGGCATCTCCCAAAATTTATTTTCCAGCAACTTCATCTTCACCTCGATCAACCTCGTCCCGACAATTGCACCCTCACCTCCGAAAAGATTCACAGAAAAGTCCGCCCAAGATGGCGCCTAAGGAACCCTACAAAGTTCACTCCCTCAATAAGCACATAGAGAACACAAAGAAGGGCCTATCGGCTGAAGCGCAGTTCAACCGCCGCCCTGGCAACCGTGCTGCAACTATCAAGAAAGAGTCGAGCGACCCAAACAACATTTTTGCCAACAACAATGGGGATGACGATGATGAGTCTGGAAGCGGAAGCGATAGCGATAGTAGCAGCGATGGCCAGGCCGATTTTATCTCCAAACTCACCAGTACCACCAAACCTACTTCTGCCACTCCACGCCGTCGTAGCAAAGATGATGAAATCGCCGATAGCGATGCCGAGCGCAACGCGTCCAAAAAGAGCACTATTGTGAAAAAGCCTACTCCTGCCAAGTCTAAGCCTCAATCCTCTAGCGATTCAAGCAGCGAAGACGAGTCTGACGACGAAAAGACCAAAGCAAAGACTAACGGCACAACTGCTGCAAAGGCGTCTGAGAGCACCTCGAGCTCTTCGGAGTCAGAGAGCGACAGTGATAGCGATGAGGAAGATGACAAGGCACCCAAACCATCCACCAAAAAGCAACAGCCTTCTGCCTCCACTAGCGACTCATCCAGCGAGGACGAAAGCGAGGATAAAGCCGATGCCAAGGCTAAGCCTCCTCTGAACGGCAAAGCTGCTACTACGTCAGACAGCTCAAGCGAGGACAGCGAGGATGAGAGCGAGGATGAAAATCAGGGTGTGAAACTTGCTGCGAAACCCCCCGCTAAGCCTGCCGCTCCCGAGCCAGACAGTTCTTCAAGCGAGGAGGAGGATTCTGATGATGAGATGGTCGATGAATCCATGCACATTGAGGATCGCGAGGGACAGCTCGCCCTACCCAACTTCATCGCTCCCGACTTTGTCCTTCGCAAAGGCGATGATGGTACAAACGGCCGCGATGTTGCTGAGATCTGCAACAAGGCGAACCTAGAGGGCAAGCAATTTTGGTACTTCACAGTTCCTTCCAATGTGCCCATCTCAGTTGTTCAGAATCTTGAGATCCCCATGAACCAGTCTCAGTCTACCGATAAGCTGTTTTCTCACAATGGCGAGGACTATGGTGTCTCCTTCGAGAGTATTGCCCCCAAGGGAAATATCCAAATCATGATTCCCTCTGATCGCCCTCAATACCAGCCCGGTAAGCAAGCTCCCAGCCGTTACGTTTTTTATGTTCTCCACTAACTTACAAATCAGTCACCAAGCAGATCGACCAAGTCATGCAGGTCAAGAAGATCACACAACTTGGCTCTACTAAGTCTGTCGCTCCTGTTCCCAAGCCAGCCCCTCGTGCTCAACCCGCTGGTCTGAAGGCTCGATATCAACCCATCGGAGTCAACGAACCCATGGGAAGCATCGGGGATGATGAGGACGTCGAGATGGGCGATGCTCCCGTTCTGTCGACCAAAGCTGCCAAGAAGGAAAAGAAGCGCAAGTCAAAAGAGACTTCTGACAAGAAGCAGAAGAAGGGACAGAGCATCCCCGAGCCCCCCAGCTCTCAAACAAACGAAGCACCAACTTCTGATACGCGCAAGAACAAGCGAAAGCTAGCAGCCTCTGAAGATGATGCCGTCGCCGTAGCCGAGCAACTTCAAGAGGAGGCTAAGCTTGCAGCGAGCAAGTCCAAGAAGCAAAAGACAGCCCGAGATGGAAGTCCCGACCTTGGCTCTGAGCCAACGTCTGCAATCGCAAAAAAGTACACCCCTGTCTTGCCTCCCGCAATCCCCGCAGTAGGAACCCCTACTTCCAAGTCTGCTTCTACGGCTGTTGCAAGCAGCAAGAAGCAGAAGAAGGTCAAGGAGGCTTCTGTGCCCGCTCCCCGACAGAGCGTGGTACCCATACCCTCTATCCCCCACTCCTCTCCTCCCAGGTCCTCTCCTGCGCGCGCTCCTGCATCACTGCCTCCTGCCTCACCTAGCCAGAGTAAGGAGAAACGAGCCAGAAAGCGCAAGGATAAAGATGGCAAGAAGACACCCTCGGGCAAGAAGGAGACCCCTGTAGTCCCCCCTGTGCCTCTATCTTCCTCGGAATAGCGTTCTGCTGGGAAGAAAGGTCCTCAAAAGGGCAAGAGTAAAAGCAGAGCCCGAAGGAAGTAGTGAAGAGCTCGATATGACAGTATTTCGGAAAGCTCAGTGCCTAGGCTACCGATATGCATCGATGGCTGTCTGACACAGCATACACTATTATGGGCATTATCGGTTATTGCTGGCAAGCATATGGTGTTGGATGTGCATAGGAGATGTTGCCTTTTTTTTTCTCGCATGGCTTGATCATGCAAAGCATTTCAAAACCGCGGCGAGACATTTGTCTCTAGATTTCAGCGGCATGGCGTTGGTGGTGCATTTCGGTAGCAAATGGAAAAGAAAAAGGGGTTGAGGATAGTGTAAGAAGGGTGACGAAGGGAGAAACTCGAAAAATATCTCCCTTCTGCGAAGATTCACGAGTATCTTTATTAGCTAAGCTTTTGGGCATCAACATCGTTCGATAGAATGATGTTTGTGAGATAGTGTAGTCAATGTCAGAACAAACAAACTTTGGTTCCGCATTGCATCTTGTGATTGTACCAGGCCCTGGTAGAGGTTATCATCGTTAAGCCTTGGCTTGTGTTCGATAGTAGATGAGCTATTCCAGCGAAGCTTATTATCATAACAAGCGTATTGCACATCGCTGTCTTCTCTACTGCTATACACCTACCCTGTACCTACCAAAAGTGGCGAAGCTATCACCACACACAAGCAATAACTTGTCATTCGCAAGGTATTTTTTGGAAGCTGGGTTCGTTTTCTTCTAACCCAGCTCGAAGCTGCTGCGTAGAGCAGCCTTGTATTTCGACAATGTGGGTATGCTATAATCCCATGACCAGCCGTCACTACAGCCATGCAGCCACTCTTCCATGTGGACAAGCTAGAATATGAAACGATTATCCCGCCACGGGCCATTGAATTCATCAGAAAAGTCAATTCCCCAGAGTCTCGAATGGCAATCGGCAGAGTCAAGTCAGAGACGATGTACATAAGGTTTCTTAGCCTGTCTTTCCAAAGGACACCCCCCTCTCACCTTAGGGTGTCGATGAATGGAATATCGCGATGACGTTCGCTATATTTTAGAACCTCAATGCGGCCATGTTTTGACGCCGTTACACCCTTGAGATGAACGGAACGACTGTCAACAAATATAACGGATGCGGAATGATAAAGAATACGAGAGTCTAGTGTACCTGTCACCGAAGTCGATGCCAGATCTGATTACACAGTATCACGATGAATGATTGGGTGGTCGATCTGACGCCTGAAAGAGCTGTAGGATCATGCGTGTAAGTTGAAGCTCTAGATCTACACCAACATCGAAGGGTAGACTGCCCAGTAGTGTAGAGGAGACTGTATACGTCTCTCACCGCCAGCCTCATAGGCTAGACAGGGGATTGAGCTGATGTCCAGGTTGGGTTGATAGCATAGACCGACCAGTCCATATAGTGATGATAAGAGCCGATCGTCGCTGGTTGCGGTCTCTGGCTGCCATTCAGATGTGGAGGCTAGAGATCACGAACGAGGTCATTCGGACAAAGAATATCAAAGTAATTGGCTACCAATGTGCAAGACATCTCAGGTAACCCTGGGATAGCGTCCTTGAACAATGCTGGTAGTATACATGTAACAACAAGGATTTTGCTCGAATCTGGCAAACTCGAGTCAAATCGATCACTGAGGAATGCTATGTCTCACTTCCTGTCCTCGCACCATTTGCGACATGGATCTTTCGAACAGCAAAGTGTTACGGATACAAGACGTTGAAGACGACATGACGCATCACTGAACATGCCACTTGATAGCGGAAATGCAGACAAGGTGTATGTCACGCAGCAGAAAGCCGGGGACAACCATCAACCACGTGCATTGCACGACATCTTTAGAGTGTAACGATAGAAAGTATGTATGTACCTATGGTGTGATAAGGTTGAAGCGAGCCAAAGCTTGAAGGAACCGCACACATGGGCACTTGGAAAGTTTCGGACAACGGGAATCTTGATGTAGCAATCAATCATATTAGGAGACCGACCGGCGGCAATAGTTACTGTACGCATTCGTTCGTTCGTTGTATCGATAATCGTCCCATGCCAACGTCGGTCGGTATTCTCCTGGACCCCGACTGCAAACGCCGGCCGAAAACTACCGACCGCGGGTCCGCGATTAAGAAAGTTGCTAAAATTTCCTTCTTTTTTTTTTTCTTCATCCGTCAATGGGCCGAGACCCGACTTCTGAACGGACATTGTCCCAAATTAGTGAGTGGAAGAGGCAAAAAAAAAAAAAAAAAAAACGTCTCAAGAAATCGGCCGAGTCAATGAACCAAACGCGGAAAGCAAAGTTCGATGGCCCTGAATTAGGTGGGACCTCGGCGGACTTCGCAAATATTGAACCCGCTGCGGGAACTGAGGCAATCGGCCGTCATGATCGATTTTTGGGGCTCAAGAACGGAAATTTCGTTTAGTTAGTTTGTTAATTGGACTTTGTCTCACTCAGACCTCAGCACACGTACAGTACCTATGCAAGAGAGGATGGTGACAGTTGGGTTGAATTCAATGCTACCTATTATTATGGCGGCTCGCTCGGATGTCTTCGCATTGACCGCCTCTGTATTGGGCTTCCAAACCAGGCTTTTATTGGCATCATGATACCTGATCCATGATATACCTTGGAGTTGTCGCTCACGAGGGCATGGATCTGGAGCTAGAGTAGCAGTCATCACTGTTTGTCCAGTAAGAATCAACCTTGATGCATTTCTGATTGGGCATTAGTTTCTGTTGGCGTGTGCTTGCATACCGTGTTGGTCTTTGATGTTCCCGTAGGTAGGGCGAGAGGCATGCAACAGTATTCAGCAGTCATCATACCTGTGTTCACACGATGCGGTCTGGACCAGCGATCCCCAATCAGACACGTACTGCACATCCAGTCGCTTCTGGTCAGACATTCAAGCATCAGCAAGAGGACCAAAGCAGATGAGCTTAGAACAAGTCTGTTAACTGGAGCTCAGCATGTGCTTATCATCAAGCGTCAGACACGCACTAACAGCATATTGAGTAACGGCCGAGGCCAAGACTCTGTCTGAACAATGCTATCAGGCCAACCGACATGATGTGTTTCTTGTCTTGGGTTGCAATATTATTAAGCATGATACTCAAGAAACTCAGAACTACCTTTGAGATTGGGTTGAGAGTTGAAACCACCAAACTCATCCCATCATATTCCCAATTGACTAGCGCATCGCAAGTGACAGTGTCTCGTGCGCAGGTAGGGGACCCTTGGCGATCTCCTGAACTTGGGCCAGTCCGCCTCAATCCGACCTTGGCTTTCGCAGCTGTGGCATGGGTGTTTCAATCGAGTGTGAATCCGTGCACGAGCGGCTGAATCGACAACGTGTTAAAGAGATTGCAAGGAAATGGAAATACACTGATCAGGTTGTTTATCAGTAAGATCATGCGCTGCGACAAGACAGCAATCAACCTGTTCTATCCAAGGGACCGGACGAGTTTCGTATCCCTGTTCATTGAGACCCTCCCAATCTCTCTCAGGCCCTGAGCCTCCACTGCCCGTTCTGCTTATTCTCTTCCGTCCCGAACGGAGGATCCACGCTATATCCACGCTCAATTTCCACGCATTATGGCCTCGCGCCTCGTCTCACCTCGGGGCGCGCGCCTCACGCACGCATTGACAAATAAGACCCGAGCGACCGTTAAGAGCCTCCTCCATTGGTTTTTGTTTTTAGTGTCACACAGCACATTGAAAACTCCGCGTCGGGGTCGGAGCGAATAAAGCTCTTGACCGAGGATACGTTTAGCTCATAACCTTCTTCTTTTCCCTCTAGCAGGACGTCACCGTCATGACGATGGGGCTTGCCGCGCTAGATATATCTAATTGGCAGTTGATTCGCTCAATGGGCAGAAAAGCTCAAACAGTTTCCTTTGTGTAAACCCTCAACGAGAAACTATCTTCCGCTCCATCCGAGTGAACTTCGAGATGCAGCAAAAATGACTTGGGAAAAGTGTAGGTGTTTCGTGGGGTTACTATGACCCTTGTCGTGTGTACAAGTATGTCTCCTGAGTGACGGGATGGGCTGCGCGCGCCTACGGCCTATGAAATGGACTAGGTATCTGAAGCTGACCCTTGAACTTGAAGCTGTGAACAAATGGACCGTTACACCGAGAGCAAGAGTTTCGTTAACAGCAGGGCTGAGTCTAAAATTGGTAATCGGAAGCTGTCGAAGAGCTAAATCATGAGTACGTGTATTCCAGTTCGGAATGAACTCAAGTCTTTTTGGACCGACAATCAATATCAGTCGACTACTTATATGATTGGCAACTATACAGCAAGATATCTCGTGCTCACAGTCAAGAGGTTGGCGATAGTCAATGGCTAAACGCTGACATGAGTTAGCACGCCGTTGCCGCAGCTTGAATATCATTAGCATCCATCCAGACTTGCAACCTTGATCATCTAAATCTAAAACAGTAGAAGTACCCGTGTCTCCCATCCAGCGTGATATGTGTTAACTTGATACTTGTATCACAACGAGGAGCTCTGTAGCTTAGGCTAAGGCAGCAGCATATGCAAGTTTGTCTATGAAAGACAGGTGTGAGTAAGCATGGGCTAGGTATCCTCCCTTCCTGGCTGCATCGAAAGCCTCCATGGGTGGGCAGCCACGGATGGTGAGCATCATCCGTGGAGGAAGCAGCGGAATTGGAGAAGGTACATTGGTCGCGAGTACCTGCTGATGAACGCACATCGCTTTTTCGCTTCCACACTTCAATGCGACGAAAAAAGGTGCAGTGGCCCCAGCTCCTTGTTAGCGTCAAAAGAGAGAGCTGATCCTTGTCTTTGATATTGCTTCTCAATGGTTCGTTGTTCATCATCCATCTCAGTTTGCGGCTTGTGAAACTTTGCAGTGGAGTTCTTGTGCAACGTATTTTTCAGAAAGGAGCTTGTCTGAATTTTTTTTTGCTCAATTCGCTGATTGATTAGCGACTGGCTTTTGTTCAAGG